ACAAACCCTGAGTTAGGTAGACTTCATTTTAGAAAAAGACTTTTCTAAATTCACAGAAAATTGTTACCTTTGTTATTTATGGAAATAAATTATGCAAAACCATGAAAAATATAAAAACTTGGAATTGTTTGGTACTGCCGCATTTTGCCTAGTAAAATGAATGGATGAGACTGTCATGCACCTGAACAAATTTTACATGTGTATTTGAATTCTACCTCTCTCTGGGCAACACTTACTCATATGGTATACCCAAGTTATGGCCTGCAATTTAAAGTTTTGCCAGAATAATGTGTTAAAATGTGCAAAGTCATCACAAAACCAGGAGATAATTGTGGTTTTGCTGTTCAAATTCTTTCATGAGTCTACTTAATTTCATTTAGGGGATTGGTTTAAATATATCTACAAAATAATTAATTTGTTGGTATAAGAAAATGACAGGGTAGTAAAAATGTTATGTAATGTGCTTCTGTACTTTTGATTCAGGTAACATTTAAAATGTAAGCATGTGTGATACCAGTACTGCTACATTTAACTGTATACTACATTTCATGACACTTTTCAGAAACCTCTGATACAAGCATAAAAAAGGAACCTCCAAGTAAATTTCAGGATTGTCTTAGTATAAAATGTGCTAAGTGCATTTGTAAAGAGAAAAGATACTGTAATTATAGCAGCCACTATAATTATAGTGGTTTCAGAAAGCCTACATCATCAATACAAGATAAAATTAGGGAAGCTTCTCAGAACACCAAACTGTGTTTAACTAATGTATGTGTTTAAGGTTCATAAAGATGTGGGCACATTTTTCTCTTTAGGGACTTGAAGAGAATAAAGTCAGATGATAAAATTTCTGGACTCCTTAGGCATAAGCTCTTATGAAGTTGAATGCAAGAAATATTGTTCTTTTCATGCTGAAGCACTGTAGGTAGGACTCTTGATAAGAATGTATGTGTCATATGTTCTTGTGCTGTTCTGTGCTTAAGTATGAGTGTATATGATGGACTGTTGAAAGTACACTGGTAATATCCACTTAAAATGTAATTCCTGTATGGTTGCCAAGATCTTTTTTCATATACCATAACTGTACATTTGTATGGGTATAAGTAGTTGAAGCTGCCATTGATCAAGCTGACATCGATCAAGTCAATCAGCTTTGAAGTTTTGAGGTGAGGAATGGATGAGACTGGTGGAATACTTGACTAAAAAAGTTAATAGAAATATTAATAAGGTAACAAAAAGGTGGATGATGTTTAGCACAAAATAAAGCAAAATGGCTAAAAAAAAAAAAAAAAAAAAGCACTGCAAGAGAAATTCCTCTGGTGGTTGATACTCTTCCCCCCCATCTTTATCAAATTGTCTTTTCTCACTCTCAGGAAATTGATGGATACAAGTAGGACTTGTGTTTTATTTCCTCTTTTTCCTTCTGAATTAAGTCTCACTGTTTGAAACTGCTTCTTCATTTCTGTTTTTCATGCTTTCGCAAGCAGTACTATCTGGGAACTTCCTTACACTCCTTTAAAAATGTTCCTGAAGACCAACCGGTTCTGTGAACTGTTTTAGCTGTAAAGAACACACCCCATATGTGTTTGTTCTGATTTATCTTGCTCTGTACTGCTCTACTTTTGTACTTTGTACTTTAAACTGGGGCAGGGAATATTTGTTGTATCAATATATAAATGATATCACTAAGATGAAGAATGGCATGTAGAGGGTTTTTTTTTCCTCTTTTTTAAAGTAGAAAATATGTGTGTAGTGTGTTATGTGTATCAAAACATGTGGCCATAGAAGTTATTCCTGTTCTTAGGGATAATGCAAAAGATACTTAAAATGTCTGACATTGGGGAAATAGAGACATTTAAAATAATGTGTTTCATACACACTGAGCTCCTTTCTCTACAAGAAGCAAAAAATATTTTATGGAACCAATCAATACAACATATTACATGCAACAGCCGTTATTCTTCCATTGTTCTAGTTCAAAGGCAGAAAGTGCAAAATGTTATATCTTGATTGGCCAAGGTCAATTGTATGAGATTCAACAAGGCCAAGTGCTGGATTCTGCACTTTGGCCACAACAATCCCCAGCAGTGCTACAGGTTTGGGGAAGAGTGGCTGGAAAGCTGCCTGGCAGAGAAGAACCTGGGGGTCTTGGTTGACAGGCGGCTGAATGTGAGCCAGCAGTGTGCCCGGGTGGCCAAGAAGGTCAATAACATCCTGACCTGTATCAGAAATAGTGTGGTCATCAGGACCAGGGAAGTCATCCTTCCCCTGTACTCAACTTTGGTGAGGCTGCAACTCGAGCACTGTATTCAGTTTTGGACCACTCACTACAAGAAAGGCACTGAGGTGCTGGAGTGTGTCCAGAGAAGAGCAATGAAACTGGTGAAGGGTCTAAAGCACAAGTCTTATGAGGAGCAGCTGAGAGAACTGGGGTTGTTTAGTCTGGAGAAAAGGAGGCTGAGGGGAGACCTTATTGGTCTCTACTACTACCTGAAAGGAGGTTGTAGTGAGGTGGGTGTTGGTCTCTTCTCCTGAGTAACAAGCAGTAGGACAAGAGGAAACAGCTTCAAGTTGCACCAGGGGAAGTTTAGATTAGGTATTATGAAAAATTTCTTCACTAAAAGGGTTATCAAGTATTGGAATGGGCTTCCCAGGGAGGTGGTGGAGTCACCATCACTGGAGATATTTAAAAGATGGGTAGATGAGGTGCTTACGGGCATGGTTTAGTGCTGGACTTGGCAGTGTTAGGTTAATGATTAGATTCGATGATCTTAAAGGTCTTTTCCAAACAAAATGATTCTATGGTTTATGGAAATTACTAGTAACTAGGCAGAAATGCCCTATGGAAATAAGCTAGCTAGTTGACTCAAGTTTAGACAGGGAAAGAATATTCAAATCAAAAGATAAATGAGGATATTTGGATCTTAGAGTGTCCTTGATTTAACCCACATGGCTGTACTTCTACACTGACTGATCATTTTAGATGTTCTCATTCCAAATAACAGCATGTATTGATGAAATTTTTCAACTTTCAACTATGAATTAAGTCACTAAGACATTTATGGTGAACTTACTTATACAATAATGTATAACCTGTATAATCTTCCTTTCTTAAAAAAAAGAAAAAATAGGGGCAGTAGCTTGATAGTTAAGCATATAGATTTGTAAGACTTGGATTCCTGTTTTTCTGCTACTTGAGGTGGTTCAAACCCACCTATGATCTGCTTCAGCCCAAACACTTGTAGTAAGACAAAAAGAATAGAAGAAGGTTCTCAGTGCCTTCTGTTTGAAGTTCTTGGCATTGAAAAAACGTTTGGACATCACTCTAAATTAGGATATTTACCTGGATATTAAGTATCTTCAAGATTTGCCAGTCAGAAACACTTTCAATTTTTGAGCTAAATTTAAAGGTGAACCACAGGCAAATGTGTTTCTCACATGGACTTAATTTTTCTGGTGATAAATATCTGTGCCTGCAAATTTAACAGGTGGATGGCTACATCCTGTGTTAAACCAGGCACAGAAATAAAGATAAATAAGTCATCTAGAACACAGGTAAAATTTTATTTCAAATTTAAGAATCTGGATGAATAGATATTGGTAATGCATAGCACATTCTTGTTACTTCACGATATGAAGTTTCCTGATGTTTAATTTGTCAGAATATTTTAGAAATGGAAGAGGGAGGAAGAAGTATTTGTAGTTAAGTCTTAAAGAAAGTGTAAAGGAAAGGAAAAGGAAATTGAACAAATGTATTTCTCCTATTGCAGAAATTTTAATCTGTAGTATCAGTTCAATCTCTTCCAAGAATAAGTAAATTTGACCTTGGATAGATATAAAAGCTAAAAAAAAAGAGTGTTATTAAATCTGATTTATTTTTTCAAATACATATTTTCCCATTGATTTTTCTATAACTTCTCATATACAGTTTGTTTTACTTGTCATGGGGCTTTTCTGACAGTTTGTTTTCATGGAGTCATTAGGATTCAAAAACTCAAGTACTTTTGTCCTTAAAACTTTTGACAAAAACAAGCTTTTAATTCTCTTATCCTGAGCTTTCTTGTTAGGCTGACTAATTCCAAATGACTGACTGGAGAAAACTGCACATTGCAGTCTTCCAAGATTCCTTTTCCTACTTTCTTTGCAGATCTAGATTACAACACTTTGTAAGTATGGTCATAGAGGTGACTTACTGAATCACCATCAAATTAGAACTTCACAGGTTGTAGAATACAAGCTGGTCAGAATTTTATTAAACCAGAAAGTCAGTCTTTCCTTTGAAGCTTAGGTCTCCTAGCAGTGTAGTCCAAATTAAAAAAAAAAAATTCAACTGAGAAACAGTTATTGTGGTCTCATCTAATGAGATACCAGATAATATCAAAGAACTGGTAATAGCCTGTTTGAAAATATCTCTTACAGGCTCATTGAAGGTACTGGGTTGTAGCAAGTAAGTGCTCTTAAGTGGCATGCTTCTGTCAGTGGCAATGGTGAAATGGCCTGTATTAAAAACTCAGATTATATGCTTGCTTCATTGGTGAAGAAAATGTGGACCTCTTGGTTGAACAAATTTTCTTGTAATACCAACTAATGGCAATTTATTCTCTAATGCAGGCCAGCTGAGTCTCATAAGCAACTAAAATGTTCTAAAACATTCATATAAACAGACTGGCCTCCTGTAGATGCAACTCTGATGCTTTGGGCACCAAATTGTTACACCTACCTGAGATTTCACTGGGTTTTATAGAAAGAGAGTTTTGTCTGGTCTTAGCCTGAGTACCTCTACGCAGTTCTGTACGTCTTGGATAATCAATTTAAAGGACCCACCACACACATTTATTGGTTAGTACATGTGCAGTTACGTGGTTACTGTTTCAATAGCTGTGTTTACCAAGCCAGTAATTCATGTTCTGCCATATGGCACACTCTGTACAAGCCAAGGGCTTGTAAGTGTATTCCGGCATTAAATAAAGTATGAACATGTGAAAGAAGATAATGCTTACCAAATTAATTTGTATAGTGCTTTCCCAGTCCTTCTCATTGTTCACTCCAGCATTATTAACCACAATATCCAGCCTTCCAAAATGTTCAATTACTTTTTTGAAAGCACCTATAGTAAGATCCAAGGGTGAAAATTTCTTAGCACTTATGGAAAGTAATATACAAAAATACCACGCATGCATACAAATAAATGTTTTATTAGTCTACCAAAATGTCTTCACTGTTTTCTTAACCACCAATGAGCAACATGCAATTAAATTCTTTATCTAACCATTCACCAATATTAAGCGTATTCAGGAAAACTGTCACCTTTTCATTCAGTTTTATAATGCCTGATAACAGGAACTAATGAAAGTTCATAGCACCCATATATTTTGTATTAATAGGATTTTTGGCACCCTAATTATATGCATTAAGAATTTATAGCATGATGTGTAACAGCTTGATATAACTAGTGAATTCAAGATTTAGCACCATCTATTTTAAATGAAAAATAAAATCTTCCTGTGTTCAGAACAATTTTCTTGGTTGAGTCTGAATTTAACCTAAGAACACAATTCATATTCTGCGATATAACTAATATGACTCAGCTACAAATAAGTCATCATAATTCTTGTTTAAATTTATCCATATTGGAATAAATTGTTATTGTTATACAACCTAATTCTCAGGTGACTTTAATAACATGTTTCTCAAATTCAAATCTTCTTCCTTCTGTTGATGAAAATAGGAACCTGTCTTCCAAATAATTTCAAAATAAAGAACTGGGAAACTTCCATAATGACATTGTGTTCTCCCAGGTGACAGTGTTTGAACCAAGATAAAAGGTGTGTATGGAAAAACTATGATGTCATAGTGATGAGCAAACTCATCTAGGCTGGCTTTACTTTGACAGGATAGTTGGGTGAGATGACCTCCAGATGTTCATTCCAGACTAAGGTTTTCCATGACTGCAGACATTATCTGACATATGTATATATAGCTTGTATGGTTTCCCTCCAAATATTGTTCCTTGTCACTAAATATTTTTTTTTTTGTTATGTAAACCAAGACACCACTAACCCAATATTGTTTGTAAAAACATTGTTTGATGACTGACTAAAAATCTAAAGTATTTCAGGTATACTGAAATTATGCTTGACAGGCCTTAACAAAACCATTTCATTAAAAGGTGATCCCAGAACCATCTCAATTATCTGATCTTTAGCCTTTGGCTATTAGTTTCAATCAGGAGCAGAGCAGCAGCTTTGAGACATCTGCCTTTTTTGCAGCAGTTGCAATGGTTTACAAAGTTGTTTTTTTTTCCTTGCACCAGATGGGCAGTTCTGTTACAACCTTTTCTTTACTTGAATGCTACAGGTCCATCACAGTCATCATCTTGTCATCAGAACAAGAACTAAGCAGCTGATGGGAAAGATTTTATTTGCCCACTGCCTTTATTGTACAGATTTGCCCAATATTCTTATTCTATACTAGAATATTTTAATATTAGTAAAGACTCTATTCTTGGCTGTCTGCCTCTTTGGCTTTTGTTATGTTTGTTGCTAATTCATTCTCTGGTTTCTCAACTTAACTCTTCAATCACTTCTAATCTTTCCAATCCTGAATCAGCAAAGACAAATGAAAACTTTTGGCTTTATTAGGAGCAGAACTGATTATTTAACTTAGTTTCAATGAGTAAAATAAATAAAATTTGGGTCCTCAATTAGCTTTCAAATTTGGAAACTGGCTTTCTGATTCCCTTTGAAGTCTTCTCTAAGTAACATCTTACATCAACCTTATTCTTAATAGAATCTTTTGCCTTAAAAAAGGCACCATGGGTAATAGCACTTTTGCCAATTATTTGTTTATTAAATTCACACAGCCTTGACTAATTGTAGTTTTCTAGTTTACACATTGAGAAAAGTGACAGATACTTTTCAGCTGTTTGCATAACTATGTTAAAATAAAGAATGATTACCAGATTTGGAATATTTCTAGTAAAAATTTACCTGCCTACAGTAGTCCCATCTGTTACCTATCCACAAAAAGAAGCATCTCATTATATATTCTTAATAAAGTTATCACCCACACATCAGGGTAAACTGACCTGTTCTTCCCTTTTTGAACATAAAATAATTCTGTGTTTACATTACACAGTAGTTAGTGCTTATGGAATCATAAAAAATAAAAGTAGATGATCACATGAAATACTGAATAAAGAAAAGTGGAATATGAAGAGGAGTATCCATTTTAAAGGACAGGAAAGAAAAACAGTGGAAAGTAAGTATAAGCATCAGTTTTAAGGGAGCTTCCCAAGTATTAATGGAAAGCAAAAGTATATGTATGGTGATTTTTCAAAAGTGGGACAAGATAGAAGATTTTTGTGGGGGACTGTGAAAGAGCCACCAGAGAAAAAAGTATAGGCAAGACTCGAAAGCAGATGAAGCAGCTGATTTCCTACCTATAAGCCTTATGTACCAACAGATACTAGTTCTAGTACTGTGACTTGTTTCATATTGAGAGGGCTAAGGTTAAAATAAGAGGGACTTCATTCATGCACATAACTTTTAACATAAAAAGCAAGCATAGGACTTGATGCATCCACTAAGAACTTTAAATATTAGGAGTGAAATTAATCTAATTTTATTAAGTGCTGGCTTGCAATTACAAGTGAAAAAAATATGAAGATAAAGCAGTTAAAAAACCCCACAACCTACAAACCCACTAAAAATATTTTAGAAACCCCAAAGGATGGCAGGACAT